TTCTCACAACAGTCCTATCCTCATGAGATACCACCATGTCCCTTTCTCATAAGTAATATGTAACCTGGAGTGTTTATTTGTATTTTATCTTTAAAAATCACAAAAATTACATTCCTGACCAATCTATAACAAAAATGCATTCTCAATCTAAAATTTCACAACTTCTAAAAATGTATGGAGTCTTTGGCTGGTGCTGTGGCATAGCAGGTAAAGTCACCGCTCGCAGTGCTGGCATCCCATATAGTCTTGGCTGCTCTATTTCCAATCCAGCTCTCTGCTATTGCCTGGGAAAGTAGTAGAAGATGGCCCACGTCCTTGGGCCCCTGCACCTGTGTGGGAGACCTGGAAAAAAAAAAAACTCCTGGCTCCTGGCTCCTGGCTCCTAGCCAGGATTGGTCCAGCTCTGGACATTGAGGCCATTTGGGGAATAAACCAGCATATGGAAGACTCTCTCTGACTCTCTCTCTCTCTCTTTGTAACTCTGCTTTTCAAATAAATAAATCTTTTTAAAAAATGTATTGAGTCCTATCTGGATATTTAGAGAACAACATTAAGATCTGTATATGGCACAGGGTGGTAGAAAATTCAAACCAAATTCCCTTAATCACAGATATTCCCATTGAAAATCAACTGAGCTAAGTGGTTGATCAAAAATGGTTAAATAACCACAGCATTATATAATTCAGCTTTAACATACAATTAGAAAAAAACCAACCTCATCTTGCTTGTGACCCTTTCATTAATAACCAAAATAAAACTATACAGAGAATTTTACTAGAGAATACTTTTTTTGTGCAACACTTCTCAACAATCATTAAGAGACTGACCCTGGTATCCTCAGTAAAACTGGGGGAGACGGGTGAGTTGGTTTAACCATGTGAGCTGGTCTTCCACCCAGGATGACAACTGACTATTGGGACTTAATCTTCACTTCCCTAAACCATTAAAGTTTTCCCATTTCTAACAGACATGTTATTTTAGTTTAATAAGGCATTAACTGATTACAATGTGCAAAGCTCTGTTCTAGGTGTTTTGGTTTCTCTACCCACGTCATTTTAATCTCCTAATGAAGTATCATTAAGCTAAAGAAACAGTAAATAGCCTAAAATGTCATTTAACTCAAAGAATGCATTAAGTATGTTTCCATAGGACAAGTTCTCATTTCGGAGAATAAGAGCATGACTAAACTAAATTATAGTTAAAATATTCACTAGGCTAATCCTTCACCTGCGGCGCCGGCACCCAGGGTTCTAGTCCCAGTTGGGGCACCAGATTCTGTCCCCGTTGCTGCTCTTCCAGTCCAGCTCCCTGCTGTGGCCCAGGAAGGCAGTGGAGGATGGCCCAAGTGCTTGGACCGTGCACCTGCGTGGAAGACCAGGAGGAAGCACCTGGCTTCTGGCTTCGGATCAGCACAGCATGCCAGCCGTAGCGGCCATTTGTGGGGTAAACCAACGGAAGGAAGACCTTTCTCTCTGTCTCTCTCTCACTGTCTAACTCTGCCTGTTAAAAAAATTTTTATTAAAAATACTAGTAACTCTTAGAAGCAATATATTTTAGAAAGTAAAATACAACTTTCTCTTCAAGCATTGAACTCATTGCCAGAAAAATTTAAATCATACTAATGGCGAATCCACAAGGGCTCCAAACATTCACGGTATTTTTTTGTTTTTTGATGGCACTAAAAAAGTTTCCTTAAGACCCTCTACAGGCTTGAGTGTTCCATGGGTAGGAAGTACCATTCTCATCTGGGATATCTTGTTAAAAATGCAGACTATCAGATTCATTCTCAGCCTGTAGAATGGGAATCTGCAGTTTAAATATGACTCTCACCTAATTTCTATGCGTATTAAAGTTCATGAATCATTTTTCTATACATGGATTTTTAGCTGGGTCCTGGGGTGACAAGAATTTCATGAATACCTTGAAATTTCATGCAGAATATATGTACACTTTATTGGGAAAATATTCCCATATATTTTTTATCAAACTCTCACATTATTACCACAAATAGATTAGGAACCACTGCCCTGTGAGATTCTATTCCACAGCTACCAAACTCACCAAGTCAAAGTCACAATATTCCAAAAACTATGCTATTCTCAAAGAAGTCTGTTGAAGAATGACAAGAATGAAGGTCAGAACGTCACAGTGGGTCATGAAAGACCTTATCTGAAGAATTTATTCACACCATGCAAGAACTATGCCAAGAAACCAGTTTGGAGACATCTAAATAAATAATTCTCTACATGAGGTTTGAGATTGAGAATGTGCACTTGAAGAAGATTCAAACTGAGAAGTAAATAAACATAAGGTAGCATTTTTTAAGATAGGATGCCATTAGATGACAGTGAAGTGATGAATTCTTGTGGTAAGAGCCCAATCAGCAAATCTCTCATATGAATTCTGTTTGATTTGGGATATGGGACTATTTAAAAATACTAACTTCCAAGTACATTCTTACAATACTTTCTCTATGAGGAAACCCCAACACATTTTACAAGTCTCACTCTCATCATCTTCTCTGGACCTCACAGGACAAAGTAAAGAAGAAGTGTGGCACAAAAATTTAAGAGATTAACCAAGATTTTCAGTGAGCTAGTGATAAAGATGGGTTCCTATCCAGGAGGTTCTCAGTGATATGTAAGAATGGCATATGCACTTCATTCCCTGATCACATTACCAAATACATACTTTTCAAAGTCTGTATGACCCAGAAGACTCTCGGTGAGACACAGAACTATGTATGCATTTCACTCCTTGATCTTATCATCTAATACACACCTTTCAGGGTCTGTATTATCCATGGGAAAATAATAAGTGCAATTCCTGCTTCCATAAGCTATAGTGCTTGATAAACTTTTATTTCTCTAATGGGTATCCAAAATGTAAATAAAAGGAGCCAACTGGTCTTTCTTGAGATTGATGCTTTACTGTACTACTACTGTAACTAGTTATCCGTAATGAGTCCAACAGCTGACAGTCCAGTCTCCAAGGTGGATCCATGTCCTAACATACCAGTCATTCCAGGCAAGAAGAGAGAATGCTAGAAAATATTCAAGGGGATCAAGTCCTCTCTACCCTTTCTATCTCCATGGCTGATCAGGCCACTGGTTGGTTCCTTTGTTCTACAGGGGTGCATAAGACAATACTTGAAAGACTTTTCTTGGCTCTAATATGGATTATTAGGAGTTCTTATTATCCAAGTACAATATAGATTAGGATGAAACTCTCGAGCATTGTTAACTGTTACTATGCCCCATATATATAATAAATATATCCTAGTAAATTATAAACTTTAGCTAAATATTCACTTAAATTGCCAAAGTGTGTACCCATCACAATGAACACTGTATCACAGGATATAATACTTGACACATGTGAGAGTCTCTCAGACATTTAACCAAACTTAGATGCTAACACTGAGATACACAGTTAATTTATTTGATTTTCAGCCCAACAGTTTAAACTAGACCAATTCAATTTTAGAAGTAAAAAAAAAAAAAATGATAACTGGGACAGGCATACTACAGTAGAGATATATAACAGAAGTCAGCAAAGAAAAAGTCATGAAAGTGAACAAAAAGTAACATTTGTTGATCACCTTTTATGGAGCAGACATGTATTCCAGCCTACAGAGTAGAGATTCCTGTCTTTACTTAATAGATGAAGATACTAGGTTCAACATATTAAATAATTTATCTAAGATTAAAAAATTAGTGGCCAGTTTTAGGGCACAGTTTTTGGGGAGAAAGAAGAGCAAGGAAGGTAGTAAAGATACAAGAGACAATAACAGGGCAGAAACAGTGAACTCAGTTTTATCTGGAGAAATGAAACAGTGGAAAAGAGACAAGTACAAGTTTCTGAACACACCAGAATACTAAGTACAGGAGTAAATGGCTCTTCACACAGTCAGTAGCCATTTTAAAAATAAAAAACATGATTATTAATATTTTTAAATAAAATGGCAGAGCCGGGATTTTAACACAGTCTGTTAACCTGATTTCAAAGCTCATGCTCCTAAACAATTCATTCAAAAAAAGAAACTGATTCAGCGTATGTATATGCTTGAGTATTTAGGGAAAAAAACAATTTAATGCAAAATCTCAGCTGTCACATAATCTTATTTTCAAAATCACATTAAATATACTTTTAACAACAAAGAAGAATTTTAAAAATTTACTAGTTAAGCCACTTAATCTTATTCATTGCTTAATACAGACACAGAACTAATTTGGGAGATTATACATAGGTCATAAAATTCCCAGAGATCCTGTAATCACTTACACACTGACATCCTAAGGAACTATATACTCCAACTTTCTGGGATCTTTTTATATTTCCAATGTGAACCCTTACTGAAGGCAACGAAAACCACTTGTTCACTCGTTGCCTTTTGAAAGAACATCTATTATTGGTGTCAGGAACTCCATTCCAGTTTCAGCAGAGTTCATCTAGACTTCTTGTTTCTAGATCCGATAGACTCTACACTTTCCTAAGGTAATATGCAGTCAGTACGGAATAAAAAACCCTGAGTCTTTATGAAATGAAAATGAGATGCAGATTAAGCTACCCACATGCCACATTAGACTTGCTGGGTTGGATATCCAACCCTGGCTCCTGACTCCATCTTCCTGCTAATGCAGACCCTAGGAGACAGCAGTGATGGTTTAATGTAACTGGATTCCTACCATTGATATAAGAGATCTGAACTGAGTTCCCAGCTTCCAGCTACAGCCCACCTCAGTCCCAGCCGTTGTGGAAATTTGTCTCCTACGTCTCAAAAAAATAAACAAAATCTAAATTCTTCAAAAGAATCAGAAACTAAGTTATCTTGGTGTATTTTCAGTTTCCTTAGAGCCCAAAATGGGCTCTATTTGAAATGGCATCTAATATCAAGATCATACAAAATATATTACACAGATAAGTTATTCATTACATCTCCAACATATCATCTTTAAACTTAAAAATAGTCTCACTTTCCCAGTTCAAAGGTTAGTTACCTCTTCATCATCTTCTTCATCTTCAACATCCAGAATTCCTGAATCCTGTTCAGACTTGGGGCTAGTACTTTCTATTTCTGTATCCAAGATTGTATAGGCATCTTTCTTAGATTTTCTCTTGCTACCTATTCTGGGTTGTTGCAAAATGATGTTATCCAGGTTTCTTTGTTGTTGAGCCTAGGATAAGAAAAACAGAGATGGGGCAGGGGGAGACCAAAGTTAAATAAGCTTTCAATGAACTTCAAATTTTGAACAAATTGCTAGCTATCTTAAAGAAAATACTATAATAAAATGTTTTAATTTATACATAAATATAAATTTTAATTTCAGAAATAAAACTAAACATACTAATAACTACATTTTAAATCTGGAGTTATCCTACATAACTCATTTTCTAAGTTAACACAGAAAAAAGATACTCAATATAATCATAAGACTTTTCCGTTATGCCCACTAAATCACCACAAAATGAAATCTACCATTTTTACCAAAGTAGTCAAGAGATTCATACAAATGCCACACTGAAACCATAGTAGTTAGGGATAAAGGGAAAACTGTAATTTCCTTGGATATATTTAAGCTTAAGGGGCCAACCAAGATAGCTACCTGGATATAAGACATCAACAAAATGTAAACAGAAAAATGAATTATTTTAAGAGTGTAATTTGGATTAACAGGGTTCTATTACCATGATCTGTGGAAAACAGGCTTTTAAAAAGGGTTTATGGGGCTGGTATTGTGGTGCCAAAGTTTAAGCTGCAGTATCCTGTATCAGAGCCCTGGTTCTAGTTCCAGCTGCTCCTGGCTGCTCCACTTCCAATCCAGCTCCCTGCTAATGCACCTAGGAAAGTAGCAGAAGATGGCTCAAATATTTGAACCCCTGACACCCATGTGGGAGACCAGAATGGAGTTCCTGGCTCCTGGCTTTGGCATGGCTGAGATCTGGTGCAGTCATTTGCAGGGTTAACCAGCAGATCTCTCTCCCTCCCTTGCCCTCTCTTCATCTCTCCCTATTATTCTGCCTTTCAAATAAATAAATTTTTTAAAAAGAGTTTCTTCTTCTGTACTTTTATAGAAAAGGAAGCATAATCTCCAGTCCAATAAAATAAGCCAACATGATGTTACAGTTTCAATAGACACAAAACAGGGCAAAGTATAATTATTCAGAGTCAACAATGGAAACACTAAACCACACAGTATTAGAACTGGAAGCAAATTGAGACATCACTCAGGAAACTGAGGCTAAAACACAAAAGATTTGTTTGAAGTCACACAGCTCATGAGTGAGTAGTAAATCAGAAGCTCAAAGTGTGATCCCCTGAATTCTAGACCAGTGCTCTTTCTACTATACTAATGGTCCCATAAAGCCTGACAAAAATGCTTCCCAAATAAAAATTCTGAAGTCGGGGCTCGCACTGTGATGCAGTGAGTTAACGCCCTGGCCTGAAGTGCCAGCATTCCATGTGGGCACTGGTTCGAGACCCGGCTGCTCCACTTCCAATCTAGCTCTTAGCTATGGCCTGGGAAGACAGTGGAGGATGGCCTAAGTCCTTGGGCCCCTGCACCCGCATGGGAGACCTGGAAGAAGCCCCTGGCTCCTGCCTTTGGATTGGCACAGCTCCAGCCATTGAGGCCAATTGGAGGGTGAACCAATGGATGGAAGACCTCTCCCTCTCTCTGCCTCTCCTCTCTCTGTGTAACTTTCAAATAAATAAATCTTTAAAAAAAAAAAAAAAGTCTGAGATCATATCAAGGTGAAACATTACCAGTAATGTAGCATTCTTGCAGATATACAATGCACATTAACAGAATAAAAGCTGGGAGTAGTCTTAAAAAATCTATTTCATTTGTTTTAACCCAGCACCTTCCAAAACCATTTCCCAATGAAATTTTCCTTTTTTCCTTCAAATGTAATTCTCAGTGTGGAGGGTCACCCCAGGGGTACTTGGCAACTGGGAAAGGTACAACTGGAGCAATGCAAATGCCCCAGCTCTGCCTAGAAAGGCAAACTACCTAATTGGGAGAACCCATTGACCCACAAGAAAACTCACCCTGATGATAAAGAAGCTGCTATTACAAATGTACTGCTCAGATCATAGCGTGTGTTGCAGCAACCAACTTTTGGCTGTCCTATCTGTCCGCTGCTCTCTGGCAGTTTGTTCAATCAATCTAACTCTGCTCAATCACTCAGACTGTTCTGGTGAATTCTTTCACCACCTGTGATGCCAGCCTCAATTTGTTGCTTCCCGTGACACTTCTTATCACTCCAAGATAAAAAGTTTGAGCAGGTAGCCTCCCAGAATATACATTCTTTAATCAATACATGATATTTCTCCTCAGCAACAAGAAGAAATTAATGTTGGGGGAAAAAAATCGCCAAAGTTTCTGAATGAGATTAAGGAATTCAAGATTAATGCTAAGCATAAGAAGTTAGTCCAAGCACTGATCAAGTGAGACAATTATAATAGGACTGAGAAGAACTTGAACTATGTGAGCTTGCTTCTGCCAAGAAAATGAAGAGAATCTACATTCCAGAGATCTGAATCAATGGACAAACTTGTTTCTCTGCATATTGCCAGTTGATTTGCCTTACAGGAAAAAAAAAAAAAAAAGAAAGAAAGAAAACATTGGCTTCAGTAACAAAGATAGACAGGTACCCAGAAACATTTAATTTTGACTTGTACATTAGATACACATATTCTCCAAGCATTTGAGGTCCTAAATTAAATAAAATATACCTCTATCCCTCTCAAAACTAAAAGGGCATTCCCCACTTTCAATACAAACTACACAAAGGCATTAAGGACTCTGAAGAGGTACTAAGGAAAGGAGACCTTCTAAAGTTTTCCTATTAACAAAAGCAAGCTCTCAATTTAGAAGGTTATCACTTGCTCCCTTAACACTGTGTATGGTTAGTCAAGTAAAACTAAAGCCGTTTACAGGTAAGTCTATTTTACTGAACCCCAAGTTAATTATTTTTCTTTTTCAATCAATAATATGACCGCCAAAAAACCATTAAGAGGAGCCACACTAAGTACTGCTATTTAAACTTGAAATGATATAAGTCTAAAGGGTATCTTATGGAAGTTATTTTATACTTTTTTTAAGGTGGTACCTGATTTTTCTATCAATTTAGAGGAGTACAAAATAGTTTCTGCCAAATCTGCAAACCAAGATGGAAAATCCCACACTAAATATCAAAATGGCTCAAGTCATATTCTAAAGCACCAAGTTTTCACCAGACTACAAAGGGACATTCAGGGCAGATCTAGCAAGCCAAGGTAACATCAAATTCAGACAGAACAATGAAATAAATACTCAGATATTCAAATTACAGATGCAAATGAAATCACTATCTAATCAAAATGTAAGTTTGGAACTGGCAGGAAGGGGGAAAGATTAAATATAAACATATATATATATAATATATATTAAAATAAAAATGTGGGGAGACAGCATTGCGGCATAGCAGATTAAGTCACCGCCTGCGTTGCCAGCATCCCATATGGGCACCAGTTTGAGGCCCGGCTGCTCCACTTCCGATCCAGCTCTCTGCTAATGTGCCTGGGAAAGCAGTGGAATATAGCTCAAGTGCTTAGGTCCCTCCAACTATGGAGGAGACCAAGAGGAAGTTTCTGGCTTCTGGCTTCAGCCTGGCCCAACCATTGTAGCTATCTGGGGAGTGAACCAGCAGATGAAAGATCTCGCTTAACTCTGACTTTCAAATAAATAAGTAAATATTTCAAAAAAATTGAAAATGTGATAATAAAGCTCTTTGTGGGGAGGGGGTAGTAAAGGGCCTTCCAAGCTCTTTTCCAACATGCTCAGCTGCTTCACCAGGACCATTTATCCTATCTTTCCAGAGACAACCCTTATAAAAAGGTACAAAAGAAGCAGCTGACCAATCTGTGCTGAACAAGCTGGTCTATGAGGAGAAGGGTACAAAGCACACAAGTAGCAGTTACATTTTACAAAGCATCTCTATATTTTTTTTCTCTCAGTTGCTCATTCTCTGTGAATTTCTAACACATTTAACCACTTCTTCCTTAAGATTCCCTCACATATATTCTCTGATTTCCAAAAACACCAAAATTGAACATGATTTATTCATAATCCCTCTTTGCTGTTGTCACTCCCAAGATCCAGGAGAACATCTGAAGTCTCCTGTTACTGCTGTATATTCTCAACTGAATTCCAACACACCTACAGTGAAGCTCATCACCTGCCCATCTCAGTCTCTGCCAGTGGCTGTAGCCAGGCTTCTTAAACCACATTGTTCATCATGCCAGTTAAGCATGAAGAAGATTGGAGAAGAAATTAAATAAATGTAAGTCCAAATTCCAAAAGCTACCACTTGGATTTCACTATACTTGAAACAGAATCCAGTTTTCCAATGCATTTATCCAGAACTCTCCACATGAATCTTCCACAGGGATCAGACTCCATCTCCTAAGATACTAGGTATCTTTCCAGTTCTGTTCCTTTACTTTGGTCATTTCGCCTAAATCCAATCCTTCTTCTAAAACCCAACTAAAATTCTTCTTACTTCAGAAAGCTTTTTCTCACTGCCTAACTCCCGTATGTGATGGTTCCTCTCTCGATTCCTAATTTTGTTTAAACATGCATTCAGTCTCTACTTGGTAACAGGCACTGGGTACAAAGAAAAAAGATGGAGTGACTCCTGAACCTCACTTTACCCTATTACAGGGAGAAGATATGCACATAAGAAGTTGGATTTCAATGCAATAAGTATAAGAATAAAAATAAACACAGACACCAATGGACAATGGAGAAAATAAGGAGATCTACTTGGAGGGATTTCAGGAAAGGCTTCACACAGAAACAGGTACCAAACACAGCTCTTAAATTTAAGTATGATTTTCTACACAGAGATAGACAGAAAGGGTAACTATTCCAGAAGGAAATATATGAGAAAGGGCCACATGTGAAGAAAAAAAAATTATCCATCCAGGGAGTAATAGTAATTTGGTATAATTAGAGCAAAGGTTATAATGGATTAACGAGAGATAAAGATGCCATATAAAGCAGTCTCAAATGGTAAGCAGGAGAATAAGAGGATCAACTTTACAACTCAGCCCAATCCTCTAGGAGAAAAGCAGTGGCCACCTAGGAGACAGTAAAGACTGGAAGCAGGAAAACTAATAGTGATCTATAAT